CTGATGTCTGGCCGTCTGACAGTCTGTTCTGTATTTGCGTTTAAAGTTTTTTTGATTGAATTGTTGCAAATTGTTTGCAAATCTATTTCGTTGGCCCCTCGCCTATTCCTACTATTTCTATTCCTCCTTGGGTTCGGTTCAGTTCGGTTTCTCGATTGAACAATTGCTTTTTGTCTTGTCTGTGGTGCGGTGGTTCGATGGCTCAGTGGTGTGGGCTTTGTGGCCACGCAGATATTCAGATATTCAGATATAGCCAGCCAGTCTCGACTTGACACTGAGTTATGGTTCTGACAGCTGCGAAAGGCAACGAACGAGCTGAAAACCCAGAGCTCTCGGCCAGAGCCGAAATTCTGTTCCTTTCAAGGGGCGCTTTGTTAATCCTATTAGGAACCGAAGCGCAACTTCAGCAACAGATAAAGTAATTACCCCAGCTGCCAACAAAAAAAAATGTCAGAAAAAAAGGGGCAGAAACGGAAAACGGTTTAGCTGAGTTTTGCAGAAAGGTAAAACATTCTGGCGTTTGGGTCTAACCTTTTGGCCCTTATTAATTACATCGTTCTGAGATGGCTAAAAGCGAGAGTATGCTGAGTTTGGGATCTCGTTACGAGCCATACCCCACTAAACTAAAAGTTTAATCCATTGTTCCAGAGTATATTTTTTCCTTCTTAAACATTTGCCTCGCAAATGATGCCATTTTCATTCCGATTCCAGGGGTCAAATCAATGGCCTGGCCTTGGAAAATGGCCAGAATAACCGTCTATAACGGCCCGGCGAACGTTAACGTTAAGCATCGCACACAAATACATAGATACAGGTGTGGGTGCTGAAATCTAGACGCCGGCATTTATTTAGCCATTAAACACGCTTCATGGGCTTTGCTTATTTTCATTTTCATTATCAATTTGAACGCGGGCTCCGTCCGGTTTGTTTTTGGCGGCCTGGAGGGCGGAGTGTCCGGCGGGGGAGACCGGGTGGACTGTAAAAAAGCTTTTAAGTTAATTATGTTGGCCATAAACTGCAGGTTTATTTCGGCCAGCAATGACGCGAGCTGCGGCAACTTTTCGTGTGAACATTCAAGCGGGACTCTAATTAAATGTCGCTCGGGGGCATGGCCAACTTTTCGTCTATACACTCGGATACGTAATACTTATATATGACTATATGGCGATATGGCAATTTCGAATACCAATGCACCACAGCCGCAGTCACAGTCGGACCGGGGCTGAAGTGTTTGCTCGTGAAACACTCGAACTTACCATTTTCCATTTCGGCCTGTCATTGTGGCCAGTGTGAAGTGTGTTGGGAATGATTTACATAAATTCTCAAATGGCCATGTGCGGAGCACAGAGCACTGAGCACAGAGCCAAAAGCAGAGCAGACTAGCGGACCAGCAGCGCACCCTGTATTGACAGAATCAAGCGCTGGACAAACAAAACCCACACATTCCGCCACTCGGAACCGTTAAGAAATAATTATATAACCTTATCCAGCCATAACAAGCTTATACCATTTTGGCCAGCTCAAGTGCCAAGTCCACAGCAAGAAGTGCCGCTCTGCTCGGGAGCACTTGAAGTTGCCAAGTCCGCGGCGTGAATTTGACTTTGGGCCTCCATGCTCTGAGCTCCGAGTTCCACGCTCCATGCTGACTGCGCCCTGGCCAAATGTCATTAGCATGGTAAGCATGATAAATGGCACACAAGCTAACAGATTTGGTCTATATATAGTGCTAACCTACCTATATATGTGTATATTTTTGTACAGGGGGGGGGTGTCTTGTCGGGGCATGAAGTCGTCAAAATCATTTGTCACAGTTTTGCCAGCTTTTAAGTGGCTGGTCTCCAGGGCCGCGCCAGAGGTCTTGTCTCGACTCTGACGGGTTCAACTTCATTTTTCAAACTTTTGTCTCGGGAACTTTAAGATCCCTTGGAATGTATGTCAAAATTTACAATAGGATTTTGTGGGAATGCTGGAATAACTTGATTTATTTTAAAGACCTTAGAAGGTTTTTAAGATCAATAGGCCTTGCCTAATTAACTCTATCTTAGTTGGGTAAGATTACTCACACATACGTACAAAAACTTGTTAAATTCATATTAAATTATGCTACTAATTGTTATGATTTTATTTGCCATAAATAAACCATTGATAGTGGTTCGGCCAATGAATCATACTTGTGGTCTCCCCATAAGTACGAAATTTATGAATTAATGTCTAGTAGCTATGATTCAGCTACATTACCGTCTAGCACACTTTCATTCATAACTTTGCGGCTTAATTTAGGTGCAGTTGTCTACAAATTTGTTTATTTTCCATTCATCAACCGTAAGTATAATCCGTAAGTTTACACATTCCGAAAAATCGTTCATACGCAACGTTGTGCGCAACTCTTGTCATGGCCATGAAATATCGATTGCATAACTTCTGGAGGACGGGTTGCAGTTGAAAGATGAGATCTGGCATTGCAACATTGACTGATGTTGCGGATATAACTGTGACAGTAACTTGGCGCCAGATGAAATTCAAAACGAGTCAACCGCAGGCTGTGTTCCCTGGGTCGGAGCCCGGTCTCACTCCCATTTAAAAGGGCACTCCTCCCGATTTAACATTAATGGCAGACTGCAACCGTTTGGCTGCTTTAAGTGCGTGTGTTTAGTGCCAACGGCAGCCGTCAAAATCAACACGGCAAACGGCACAGCAACGACAACGGAAACAACGCAGTAGCTGCCAATATGCACTAAGAAAAATAATGTAATTTTATTTATTTTATACTATATTAAGAGCTGTTTTATAATCGAAGTTTACTGACCTACTCCTTTGGATAATTACTTTTTAAAACATTTTCTCAGGTCACATTTTTTCTTGTAGTGCCTTTCCTCTTTGTGGCAAGTTGACAGACAGCTGAGGCAACAAAAAATAAAAATAATGAAAACATGGCACTCCCCCCGCAATGTCTCACCCGTTCGGCGTGTAAATAAAATTACGTTTTGAGGCTGGCGGCCACACGCATTTTTTTCCTTCCTCTGGCCTCCGGCCGCTGCCATTTTTGCATATCAGCTCGTCGTCATCGACGCTGCGGCTCTTTGAGTTTTCATTCATGGCTGGCTTTCAGCGTTGTTTGTCGCGGCTTTTTTCTGGGTTTTCGGAATTTGTCGGCGAGTCTTTTATCAATCATGTGGCTGAGCAGTGGGTCTAGGTGACTTGCCCGGCCAATAATGACAAGCGATAAGTTGTCGTTGCCCCTTCTGCTAGCCGACTCTCCACTCCCGACTCCCTCCGGACTCTCAGCTCTTGCCACTTGCTCGCTTGTTTTTACCAGTTTAAACTCATTAATAATGACCCCCGAGGCAGTGGCAGGTTGTCCGGTGTCCGTCGTCCGTCGCCCGTCGCTGACGTCCGCCCAGTTGGCCATTGTCAAATGGCTGCCACACCCCCTAATGCACAAGTTATGCCCAGCCGATGGCGGTTTTGCATACGATTTGGCTTTGGTTTTGGCATCAACCAGCTTACAGCTGTTGGGATCTTGTAAAATTATTATAAATCTCCCGCTGATGAGCTGTGATTATTAGCGTTTTACGTGCTCCAATTTTTGCGCATGCAACACACGCCACGAGCATGCAAGTGTCATTAGTCAGTTCCCGGAATGGAATGGATAAACTAGTCTGTCGTCGTCGTGGCTAAGATCCCCGGCTCCACGCCATGTCGGTCGATCAATCAGCCACCAACTGCACTCCACTCGACTCATTTGCCGTGGGCGATTCACGCTCAACTGGTCCAATTACCGCACACACTTGCGCCCTCTCTATATATATATGTACGACTTACATACTGTACGTACAGTGTACATATATTTATGGTCCCGACTTTACGGCATCTGCATAATTAACTGGCGGCCCTTTAAGTCGCTGCTAATTATGTCCCAGTCCGCACAGGCATCGCATCTGAGATGACAAGAATTTGCATTGAATATGATCGGGCATCATGTTGTAGTTGGACCTTATCTAGGCTCAGCATCAGCAGATTACCCAGAATTATTCATTAGCCCTAGCCTGGAACTATAAGTGGAAAACATAACAAAATGGGAGTACCCATTACCTTGGGTAAAATGAAAGGATAAGAGATCTCTTACAGACTAAATCATTGCTATTTTGGTCTATGAAACATACTCTGTTAAATACCCATTCTTGATTGCCTCTTTAGTTGTCAACGAATTGATTTAAAGCTTTTTAATAAAATTGTCTCGACTGATTTATGCCTTCTATACCAGCACTGGAAATATTTTTCAATTAAAAGTCCCAGACAAATAAAAATATGCCTGTGCGGAGCTGTGGAGTTTCATTTTCATGAGCATTTTATTGGCTAGATTCGCAAAGGTTTGCTATTTGCTGAAATCAAAGACCAGAAACCAGGCCGCGATGCCACCCAAACATGCGACGACAGCAGTTGAGAAAAATCACAACAATTTATTTGATTTGCCCGCACAATGATGCCAACTATGAGATGGCGTGCAAAATCAGCACAATTTTTCCCAGCGATGACGGAGACAAAGGGCGACAACGAGTCGACTCGCCGGATCTCACTCCTTCCTCAGCCCGGCGACCCATTTAATTTGGCAAACGTGAGCAGTTTTAAGCCAGGCCCAGAGTAGAAAGACTGATGTCGGGCGAGCGGGCGATAGATGGCAGGACCGGAGCGTCAAACATCTGTGGCTATGGACGTGTGAATGATGACACTTTGCATGTTTGCCAAGTCACAAGGCCCTGCACTAAATATTGATGAGGGTCCTCGCCCCCCAACCGCCCGATTCCCACCATTTTTCAGCTCCGAAAACTCCCAGGCACGTGCAAAGTATGCAACACTTTTGTCATTCAACTGAGACCACAAAACGTTGTTGACGATGTGGAGGTGATGATGATGATGATGATGATGATGATGAGGGGTTGTGGGATGTGAGTGGAGAAATGAAAGCGAAAGAGTTGTTTACCCAGGGAGGGTGTTCTTACCTTGATCTCGTGTATAAACTCGGTTTCATCCAGCAAATTAATGCGCACGGACATAATCCGTGACGGGCGACAAAGGCAATTCATGTTGTTTGCCGTGCGTTTCCACCGGAGACAAGATATTAAGTATACGACGCGCGGGATACCAGTCGCCGACTTGACATTTTCTGCAATGGAAAAGAAAGATAGAAAGTGGCAATTAATATAGGCAGATAATTAACAGGTGCTTCAGAGCTATCATCGTCCGTGGTAATTAGCTGGAATGCAACTGCATTTGCAACTGGTTTTCCCGCAAATATACTCAACCAGAGATACAACTATCTCTGGCATTTAGGCAGAGCCACTGACTCATGCCGTTGTCTCGTTGGGACTAGGCCTGGTTTTAATAACTCTCTTGGCTTTGGCTTTTATCTGCAACACAGATCAGCGGCAACTGCTACAGCAAAATCAACATCAGCAACAGCTACATCAGCAAGAGCCGCAATGACAGTCCAACTGTCAGCGACTGCCGCTCCCTAGCTGGGCATTATCATTATAATTTTATAATTGCGGTTGTGTGCCGGCGATAAGTTTAATATGCATGAAGTGGAAGAGGCAGAAAAGAATCACCTACGGCGCAAATAGCAGCAGCAACAAAAACCGCAAAGCAACACCAACAGCAACACCGAAACCAAAACAACAGCAACAAAAGTCACTTAAGCGGATTAGTTAAAGGGCGCTTCACGTCTCCCCAGGTTCTCCTCTATGCGACTCTCTGTGTTTGTGTTTCCTAAAAGCAGATTATGTCATTAGAGCTCTAATAGGGGGAGGGAAGTAGGGAGGCAGCAGGAACAGCACCAACAGCCACGGCAGAAGCGCCAGGCTTTAAGTTTCCTATCTTTAATGGGCAAGTTTTAAGTCATCATGACGAAATAGTCGAGGGCATTGAGACCTGAACCTGAATCAGCGGAAGGCCCCCCCCAGAAGAAGAAATGCGGCTGATATGAAGCCGAAATTTAAGCATACTTAAGTAGGATGGACAACTGCATGTGACGCCCATTAAAGCAATGACTAACTCCTTAAGATCGTGTTCCTGTTTGAAATGGAAAAAAGTCGGACTAACATTTCAATTGTTGATCCCGTCAAATTAGTTTGAGCCCCAAACAAATTAAGCCGAGGAAATGTCTACAGTGGAAACACTCTGATATCTCTCGGCAACTTCACACAACATTTGCCGACAGTCAACCTGAGCGAAGAAGCGAAGAACTGCGGGCAGGCAGCACGGCAGGCAGCGCTCGCACTTTTATAGTCTTAGCTGTGGATTTAGCTCTAGCTGCACTGGAACTACAAAATAATTAATGTGCACTCGCATAATGAAAAGCGGCAAAATGCAGAAAGGCACCAAAGCAGCAGTCAGTCAAAGCAAAAGAGCAGCTGCATCTGGAAAACAAGTGCAGTAGAGACATGGTAGCTTTTCACACATTTCACATGGCCAGACCTCAAGTCTGTTGTTTTGCATAGTGGATAGGATAGTGGTTGCTAGCTCTTCCATTCGGGGGTTTTGTGCTCGTTTCGTGCTTTCATTAGACGCTGGCACATTTCTCATTGCGTGGCGCTCATTACACTAATGAAATATTATGCCTAATTAATGGAAAGTCGGCTGCCAAGTTGACTGACATCTGTCATACATGTGTCTTTAACTTGGTCACTCTGTCAACGTATCAGCCCCACTTGCAGCAGCAACATGAGCAGCAGCAGTAGCAGCAGCAGCATCAGTCAGAGCCGAGTTGCATCAATTAAAATGCATATTTATGTGAATGACAGCCACTATGAATGGAGATGGGGACTGGAGATGGAATGGTCCCACTGTAGGTTATTTTAATTGCAGCCAAACGCATGCAACAACAAGTTCATTCAACTTGCCCCACCAGAGACACGCCCGCCGACCCACCAACCCGCCCACCCAGTGCTTCTTTGCGCCACCCACAAGTAGCAAAGCCCCGACGACGCACAGCGGAAATTACAATTTACATTTATGTGCCGCACTTTTACGACGGCATTTTCCACATTTTCTTTAAATTTAATGCTCATCTCGTTAAGCTCCCGCCTAGAAATTATGTACATTTAAATGGGAAGCAATTCGGTTGGCCATAAACTGATTAATTGCCATGTTCGGTTTTAAGGTTTTTCCTTCTAAAAATATTCAAGTACTACTAGCTAGGCTAGCTGCCCATCTCCATGAAATCTTTGAAAAATGTCCAACAAATGTCACAACTTCAGCGAACTCAACCACAAGGCGATGAGGGTGCCAAAAACTCAGCCACCACATATGATAAATATGCCATTGATCGATTTTTGAGCAGCATTTCCCTCCCAGCGGGCCAGGCCACATGACACTGGGGAAATTTATCGCCCAGGCATATTTATAGCGTCATATCTTTATGCCCGAGCCTGTGTTTACAGGACATCATCAACATCAGGATCGAGTTCAGGCAGCTCCAGCTAGGCTGGAGCTAGCGACACCCTCATAATTTCTTTTCCCATCAAATTTATCACAGCAGCAGCAGCAGCGGGCGGTAGGCGTGACTTTTGGCCAGAACCCCCCACCCTGCCATCCTGCCACCCTGCTGATGGGGGTGGCTGTGGAAAAACTTGGCTTGATTTGTGATAAAGTGCGTGTGGCATTTGGCAGAGCTAACCTACCCGTCGGCTACGTCTATTTATCAGACCCAACTTTGCTTTCAATTTTCCGGGAGATTTTACTACTTTTTCCCCTACTTGCTCCATGTATTTTCCGGAGCTTTTTTTTTGGATATGCTATATTAATAATATTTGTGCAGTCGTCTGCCATTCTTCGCTCCTCACATCATCATAAACCTCCCGATACCCGCTTCTGGGATGGCCCTTCTGGCCCCCTACTTGCATTCATGTTGGCTGCTTTTCTTGGCTGATGAACGGACGGACGGGAGTATCAATAACTGAAAATGTCTCAAACAGCATTTTGTCATATTTCAATGGATCCGAAACCTCCACTCCTGGTTCTCCTATGGCTCTCCCCCGTTTTATGTTTGCGGAAGTAACACCAAACCAAGCGAAAGGCAAAGAAACTTTTAGCACATACATTTGCTTTGGAGGTTGAGGGGGCGGACTTTGGCTATGTCTGGCAGGTTTTTGGTCTGGTTCTGGTTCTGGCCTGGCTCTGGCTCTGGCTCTGGTCTTGGCCCTGGCTAAACGAAATTATTTATTACTTGCCGCTCCCGTTGCTGCGTTTTGGCTGTCGTTGTGGCTGTGTGCGTAGAAGCTGCTGGTAATGATGATGAAAAACGTGAAAGCATCGAAAAGTGCAAATGGCAAAAGGTGGGAGCTGGAGCTCCGAAATCAGAAGGATTGCTCAAACCCAGACAACGACCCTGAACATGAACATGAATCCCCGGGCCTGAACCAGTACCACTACCAGTCCCAGTCCCAGACTTTAATGATGATTAAATGCGCGCCGGCTTTTTTGGGCATTAGAGGGATATCGAAGGTGTATGGCATCCATGCTTTCAGGCAGTGATTTTCTCCCGGTTGGCTGTCGTTTTTTTTATTTAGTTGGCTGATTTGACTATGAAATGGAGCTTATTGGTTTGGGGGCGGGCCGGGACAGGCACTAAGATGTAAATAACTCTCAAATGAGCTGGAAAATTGAAGCCAAGGGCAAAGGCATTTATTTTTCGTACTCTGCAAATGACTGAGAGTTAATGGAAGGTGCGAGCATGGCATGACTTGGGGGAAATTCCGCACTGTCGGAACTATTATGTATGGAAGGGTTCTTCTGGCGAAGAGATCCTCAAGATGCACACCAATGACATAATCCCGACAAGAATTAGTTGGAAAAATATTCCCATTTGAACGCACTCGATGCTCCTCTTGAGATATGCGTGTGCAAAATTACTTAATATTTGTTCACGAGTTACTCGTCTCGTTCTTTGACTAATTTCCAAGAATTGCTAGCTCGGCTCATTCCTTTGCCGCAATATGCATGGCCATAGATGTACACTGCTATCAAATATGGAAGACTCTCTAGGTGAGGCATCTAGTATCTCTAGATAAGAATTTAAAATTTTGCTCTGTGGAGGTATAGCCATCGTCACGGACGTGGCCACAAAGCAGGCAAAGTTGGCAATTCGCAGGCGGGCATAAATTTTACAGCCACCACACATTACATACACCATACGCGAGATGTGTTCAGAGGGTGGTAGTGGGCACAAGTAATGTGGCATGGTGGCATTGTGGCATGGGCGTGGGGCCAGGCATACCTTGAGGCATTTGCAGCAATTAACACGGTCGACGGCGTGTCTTGGCGCCCACTTTCGACGGGGGCCCCCACAATCAGAGCCACTTCCCCCCAGCCAGCCAGCCAGTTTCTTTCTCACTTATTTTTGGCACGTAATGAGCCTGGAACCCATTGGATTGTCCGAGACAGCCGGGCTCTAATTGCATTGACGCTTGTGCCCCGGAATGACATTGAGAGGTGCCACCAGCACCACCGCCCCTCATACCCCTTTTTCAGATCCTCACTCTGTGGACTGATTGAGTTGCAGTTAATTATGCCTCGCTGGCATTTCGATGATTTTAATGATTTGTAGCGGTTTGCGGGCAAATATTTCGTTTGCTGTCGTCTTGTGCCGAGTAAAGTCACATATCCCCCGGCACCTGGCCCCTTGCTTGGAGCCCCGGCATTTTTGCTGGATCCTTGCTGGCGAACGACAACCATCGAGTGCAATGACACACAAGATTTTTGCGCCGTGTGCTGTATGAGTATTTATTTACAGTTGCCGACATCGCCGACGATGACGTTGCTGACGACAGCTGCCTCCAATGAGTCGGTCGGTGTGTGTGCGTTAATATTTAAGCGGTTGCATGGGAACTTGTTAACACCAACCAGCAGCAGAAACAACAACCCACAGCCCACAGCCCAGACCGGGTTCGGGCCAGAAGGAGACCCAACCCCGACGCGAACTCAAAGTCAGACAAGCGCCAAGGGAGCCGGGCGAGAGTTGATCGGACCAAAAGGGTGCCGGGGGACGTCGGAGTGGCAGTGTAGCAGGGCGGCAGGGTGGCAGGAAGCTGCATGGCCATGTGAGTGATTGTCAAGTGCTTGACGCTGCAGACAAATGAAATTCGCTTAAAGTGCACCGCAGTCACA